ACTTGCATCCTCCGAATCTCTGTTTTCATGTCATGGATTTCGCCGTGTTCTAACAGTGCATCTGTTGCTTCCCGCATCTCTTTTGCCAGCTGGAACTTCTTCTCCCACAGCAGGATCTGATGCCTTCAGAGAAGAAAGGGGAAGGAAGGAGAAAGCTAGACCCCCAATGACCTATCCAGTGCAGCACACTCACTGCCAGTTACTGGCAGTCTTCCCATATGGATTTTGGCAACATCCAGTTCACACATCCTGGAACTGTTGAAGCCAACATCCTCCCAGCTCCTGCTGGTTCCAGAGACTGCTGAAACACCTTTCAAACATTCATCCCCTTCTCCAGGACGGCTAGAAGCACATTTCCTGGGGCCAGCTTTGGTGACTGCAGGAGAATGGGAACATGGACACAGTCACAGAGGACTGTGGCACTCTGGTACCTACTCTGCTTCTACCAGGCTGTTCAGGAGCCTTTCCTTCTCCTCAGTCAGTTTACTGTGCTTCTCCTGCATCTCCATGGATTCTTTTTCTGCTGCCTAGATTTGGGAAGAACAAAACAAAACAGTGTTGTCAGGCTGAGAAGGTTTTCCAGGATCACTGTTTGCCTCTGATCTGCACAGGAGACTGAGACTGGGAATGAGGTGCCAGGTGCCTCAGTACCTTGAGAGACTGCACAAACTCATTCTCTGTGATGATTTTGCCATTTTGCAGGTCCTGAACGCTGCTGTTGTTCTTGTTGATCAACATGTTCAACTTTATCAAGTCATTTGACATGTTCTTCATGTGCCGTTCCACGTCCTTCTGTTCTTTTATTTCCTGCTGAAGTTCATCTATTGGTAAAGAGAAAAAAAAAATCTTTAAATTCCCCTGAGCACTGGGTTGAACAGAGACAAGGTGTGACAAATGGCTATCAGAGCTGGCACCACCTCAGGCAGAGCCACCCGTGTCCCATGACATGTCTCAGCCAAAATGATTTCCCACAAGCTCAAAAAACAAAAAAAAAGGTTTTGAAGGAGATTGCTGTGGGAAAAAGTTGGGTTTGGCCAAGGAAAGTGCTGGGGACATTTACCTCCCCACTACTTGCAAACTTTATTTATCAAGTGTAACAGGTGACATTGTCACTTAGGGTCCGACTGTTGGGACAGTGGGATCAATCCTTATAGGAATAACCAGGTGCAATCAGCAGCAGTGCCTGGGCTTTTGGAATTCCTGCTCACACACAGCCAAGAGCACTCTTTGGGGCAGGTCCAGCTTTTCCCATCTCTAACCCTCCACTCCCTTTCCCCTCCCTTCACAGATAACATTTTAAGGAAGAGTTGGACTTTAAGGAATGACGAACTTTCGAGGCGCAGTTTCCTCTGCTGCATGATGATGATCTGCTTCTGTAGCGTGTCCAGGGAGGTTATTTGTTCCTCCCGCTCCCGTGTCAGCTTCACCAGCTCCTTCTGCTCACTGAGCCAGTACTTCTGCAACGTCATCACCTCAGAGCTGCATTCTTCTATCAGTTTGTTCAGCTTGTTGATCTCAATTTCCAGTGGTCCCAGTTCTTGCCCCTGTACAAGAGCAAAGTTTGGGCTAAATCAGGCATAAGCTGCCTGAGTTGTTTACAGTATCTGGACATTCCAAAGTTTGCACAGGACTCATTTCCCCATGAGTATCCATAAGGTCTTACACTGCCAGGGAGAGATCTGGGAGTCATCCCAATAGAGCCAACTCTCAAACTACTGAAATCTCACTACCTGCCCCATTCTCCCGTCCTCAATGTTTGCAGGTTTTCCTAACAAGATCTTATTTATTCACTGATGGCATTTGACATTTTCATCAGGTGCCAGCAAGTCCCTGAGGTATCCATGCCAGACACACCCTCATTTCACAATTCCCTTCACAGCATTTTGAACTGATAAACAGAAACACCTGCAGTAAACAATGCAGCTTTTAAATCACAGTGCTGATGCCTGAATGTTTGAACTACCCAACACTTAACACAGTTACATTGATCAGGGACATCTGTGGCCACCACAAAGAATAAAATCAAAATTGGGGCTGAAACACAAAAGTACCTACCCCTTGCTGAGAAAGAAGCATCTCCAGCTTCTTGTTGTACTGGCAGATGATCCCTCCCTTCTTGTCAGACAGGAGCCTGGACTTTGCAATCTCATTTTCCTGGCAGGCAATCAGTTTGTTCATATTTTTTATTTCCTTGTCCACCTCACAGAGTGTTTTTTGGTGAACTGTCAGCCTGCAGCTGGTATTGGTTGCATTCAGAATAATCTGGGCCACATCATTCTCAACCTTGTAAAAATGCAGCTCCTGGGAGTATCAAGAGAGAAAACACATCACTGACCCAAACACCTTGTTGAGTTGTAATGCCACTTGTCCAGCGCAGGACTCAGGGGATTGAGATTCTACTCCCAGGTCTGTACTACAAGCCATGAGCCACTTACCTTCTGTGTATCTTTGCTTCTCCATCAGCTGCCAGGTAATACAATATCTACCTCTCCCATACAGCTGTTGAAAAGCATTAAGGAGCCTAAACATTCCAAAAACCTTTAAGAGACCTCACTCATCCCTTCTGTAATGACCCCTTGCCCAGCTGTCTCCAGTTACCTGCCACCAGTACCAGGACATCACTGTACTGTACATCTCCAGCACACCTGGCACACACCCCCCTCACCTAACAACCAGCACAGCACTCACAGGTGGGAGAAGGGCTGGGCTGAGTTTTCTAATCCTTCCAAGTGATACAGTTATACACTCCCAGAGAGAGCAACTTATCATGGATTAAAGATTGGACTGTTGGACTGATTAAACAGCTGGACTATTCCTTGGATGTTCCTCAGAACTGAGAGCTGCCTGCATCCCATTCCATGATGAATTATAGAAATAAAAATTAGTTAAAATTAGATTACATAAGTACCACATGGCCACTGTTTTTCTTTAGTACATAAGCAATGCTAGTAAATACTCCCAGGACTCATCATGTTGCCCCATTCTTGAAGTAAGGGACAGTGTGTTTTTGTATCAGGCCTTTTTGGCCAAGCTCTCTGACACACCAGAATCCTGCAATAAGATCACAGGGAGAATCAGATTGGAGAGGAATACTCAGCAGAGCTTCAATGCAGACCTGAAACCAGAACAAAGTCATTGACCAACCCTGCTGGGGACCATTGCTCCAGTGCCTCCTTCCCTGCCCTCCCAAGGGGGGATGCCATACCAAGTCGCTTTTTCTGTTCCGAAGTTTTTCAGCCAGCTGGGAGAAGTGCTTTGCAACTTTGCTGGATAGCCTCTGGTCCTGAAGCTTTGCCATGATTTCACTCTCTAGCTTCTCGTTGGCATAAGTTCCCTTCTCTATACCCTTCCTGATGGACAGCAACTCATTCAAATGAGCAGCCTGGTCCTAAAAGGTTGGAAGACAGAGACAGGATCATTGAAACTGTCTGAGGAAGGGTATTCAATTCAAGTATTCAAAGGATTCATGTTCCATGGCCCCTCCTCACCATCTTGGTCCTGCTGAGGGCCTCCTCTGTCTCATAGAGAACTCGAGTGTAGGTGCCAGTCTGAACCTGCAGGGCCTCCTGCTCCAGCAGGCACTGGGCAATCAGTTTCTTTGTCACACTGGCATCATTCTGGGACCGGTTCAGGAGCCTGACAAGGTTCTCGTTCTTCTCCTCCTCTTTCCTGATGGACTTCCCACAGCCATGGATGTCCCCTTCTAGGGACTTGAGGTCACGTCTGTAGTTGCTGGAGGGGCAAAGAGGATGGAAAGTCATCGCAGGGATTGGTGCTGAACAGCCACCCACAAATTCCTCTTTTCAAACATGTCATTGCAGCAACAACTGCCCAAGAAGGAAGAAGTTTGTAAGAGCTCAGCTGCTGTGACAGTGCAGAGTCAGCAGGAGATGGATGGAGACATTAAGATACAAAAGTAAATGTGTGTAGGAAAATCGATTTATTCTTTCTGTATTGTCCCAGCCCCCATTCCAACCAGGATGTCACCATATAAAAGCAGATTGTTTGTTCTCAGAGAATCAGTCAAGCTTTAGGGCTCATGAGCAAATAAACACTTCCTCTGGTAATAACAGGGAGGTTTTCCTGAATGTTTCCAAAAGCCTCACAAAACTCTGATAATGAGAGATAAACCCTTCCTGACATCCAGCTCTTTGGAGTAAGAGATGTTGCAAACATGAGGGAACTCTTTTAAAGGAATAAAATACAATCATAAAAACTCTAAACAGCTTCAAGAACCCCCCACATTCTGAGGAAGAGATGTGGATAAGATAAAGAAAACAGCAACAAAGGAATGAGCTTCTCATCCTTTAAATTTATTGTGTACTTCAGAGCAGGGAACTTGTTCTGCATGACACACCCTGCCCACACAGTGCTAAACCCCACAGGAGACACTGGAATCCCCTTCTAGAATCCCTCCTGCCCAAAACTGGGGTGTCCTCAGGGCCTGCTTTCAGATCATACCTCAGCAGCTCCTGAGTGACAACATAGGCCTCATCCCTCTGCTTCATTCCAGCCAAGCTGCTGTTCCAGTGGTCCATCAGCTTCTTTTTCTCAATGTTAATAGCCTGAACCTCCAGACCAGCCTGGGGAACAGAGAAATGACAGACAGGATGAATCTACTCTGTGTTAAAAAAAAAAAAATCGTGTTACAATACAATTTTTTCTTTTCTTCTTAATGTGCTGAGCAGGATCAGCTTCAACTCTGTGGGTGGTTCATTTCTCAGCAGCCCACAGAGCACAGGTCTGCATGAAAAAACTGCTGAGAAGGGCAGGAGGAAGTGATTTACAGGCACTTCTTAAGGACAAAGGAAAAGAAAAAAAAGTCCTCATTCTTCCAAACAGGAACAAACTGTGAAACTCTGTCCCACATTGTGCACACCATGTGAGCACGGGCCAAAGGGGTCAGGCTTGCCAGAGGGAAATATTAACCCAAGGGACAAGTCCCCTCCTACCTCACTGATTGCCTGCCGCGTCACTTTTGTGTCCTCTGCTTGGGCCACAAGCTGAGCCTCAAACAGAGCAATTTGTTCCTGGAGCTGGTGGACTCTCCTTGTCAGCTGGTCCAGGAAAAGGTCCTACAGAGTCAGACCAAACAGTCCAGGGTGAGTCACGGAATCTCAGTCTAAACCAACTGTATCCTATAAGAATAATATCTGCTAAAAAAGGAATTAAAACTGGCAACTGGATTAGATTGGAGTCCTACTGAAACTTTCCCATTCATGCACAAATGGATCAAAACTGCAGCAGGGACAGCTTGCAGGAGAATGAAACCTTTGCTGACTGTTTATTATTGCAGCTGCAGCAGTAAATTGATAGGTCAGCTCTGAAGTCACAATCCCTCCTGTCAGCACTGAGTTCAAATATCCAGTTACTGGGAATCTTAATAATGTATATTTGAAAAGCCTTTGTTAAAACCCTCCTAAATCCACTGTATTTCAACAGTTTGCACAGAATTCTGCAGGAGCAGTACCCCGTGATTGTGTCCTGGAAGGCAGCAGAGGGAGCTCCAGCACCGACCGGCCCTGCTCATTCCCCAGGTTCACTTTCCATTGTGAAATTCTGTGATTCAGAATAATTTTCAAGACCTGTATACATGATATTTCTCCATTAAATATCCTCCTTCCCTTACAGCCCTTCTCCTCAAGTGAAGAGTGATTTACTGTCCTAAGGCTTGCAAACCCTCTGGGCAGCATTGTTGTCTGGGGCAGGCAGGGTTTCTCCTCCTTTTTAGAAAAGCCTATGGATTTATTTTTTTTCAGTTATTGTAGAAAAATATCCCCACTCATCTTGTATGATTCAATTGCTCTAGCCTTCCTCCTGACAAGGTGGCACATCCTCCAAGACTGATTTGCTGGCACCTGCATTTATTTATTTCAAAGACAGCTTTTCTTGGTACCTGTTTTTTCTTTTCCACCTCAGCCTGGATCCTCTCTGCCTCAGCCCTCTTTGCTGACTGTTTCATCAGTAAAAGCTTGTGATGCATGTCCTGGTCCATGTTCTGCACATAGAAGAGCTCCAAGGCCAGGTTTTCAATCTGGGTCTGCATTGCAGAAACTGGGGGGACAAGAGGCAAAATAGTTACAGAGAAGTTTGTTTGTTGGGTAGACCTTAAACAGAGATAAAATACAAAGAAATACAGAAGTTCCTGAAGCAAAACCTCTCACAAATCAGCTAAACCAGTCCTCCCCAGCATAAATATTTATATCAGTTTTGGAGTACAGCTCCACAACAAAGATCCTGGCAACCAATTTCTGGATTCCCAGCTCACAGAATTCCAGGAGTATCCATGAAACTTTTCAGTGAGCGCATTACTCCTGATTAATTATTTTGCTGCAATTTTTCAATCCAGTGCTTGCCTTAAATTCCAACTAATTTCTCCACACAGCCCTAGAATTGGGAAACACTGGCAGGACTGCCTGGGTCACCTTTCTTGCGTTCATCATCCTTGTTGTGACACATTTCCTTGTGAGCACCCCTGAGGCCCTGCAGCTCCTCCTCCAGCTGCTGCCGTGCTACGGCCGCCTGGAACAGGCGCTCGTGGCTCTTCTCCAGCTCCACCTCCAGCTGCCCCAGCTGCTGCTGGGCCCCAAAAAGGATCACCCCCAGCTCCTCTCTCTGCTCCTTGCTGGTCTTCATGGCTGATCTCTGTAGACACAAGAGAGGAGGAGCTGTCTCCCAGCAGCTGGGACAGGAGGGGCTGTGGAAAGGCAGAGCAGAGGCTGGGTACCATTCCATGGAGGTCTAGGTTCACTTGTTCTATCTGCTTGGTGAGGTAATTCTTCAGGGCAGCTTGGAATCTTGTCATCAGGGGCTGTAAAGAAGGACAGTATTATTAAACTCTGTGTAAACAGATTATGAAGAAACCTCACTGCTACGTCCCCCACCCAATAAAACATCTTATTTCTGCCATAGACACTTGTATGCTTATTTTAGCTACACTCACTGCAGCAAGTGAGACATGTTACAGAGTGTTTTTGCTGATGCCAAAAAGTGAGAATATTTGAAAATCAGAACCATGCCAGAAGAGCTATATCTGAGAACCCACCCTGCTCACTCTTGCTGCAAGCACTTCTCTTTCAGGGGCACTGAAGGGATCAGATCACTGCATTGCTCACTTCTGAACCTGCAGTTCTGGGGTCAGGATTGAGTGGCACAGTCAGTAGTTAATACTCTGGCAAAACTGATTTTCACACGTACAGCTCAACAGCCACTGCTTACAGCTCACCTCACATGTTTCAGAGAAACACAGACACCAACCCTGCAAATAACAGCAAGATTTGAAGACTTCTCACATGTTCCGGGTCCAGGACGACCAGTTCTGTTTCTTCTGCTTTTTTCCCCCTCCGTTTTCTTCTCTCATGTTCCTCAGCTGCCTTTTCCCGTCTTTGGCTGCCATGATCACTGGGGAGCTCAGAGGCCAGCCCTGCATGGCGAGAGCTGGGTCGTCCTTCACTCCCTGGGCCACAAAAAAGGGCAAAGGTAAAGCAATAGGATTAGATTTCATAGCGCTGTGCCTCTGGTTGCATTAACAACAACCAGAATGGGAGAAAAGCAGAGGCTGTGCTCCAGAGATGTTGCACAGGCACGGGAGGGTACCTGGCTCGGTGCCTGTGCCTGACTCTGCTGCAGGTGCTCCTGAGGGAGGAGGAGGGGCTCCTCCACCTGGGCCTTGCTGCTCCATGTCACCCTGTCCAGGGGCACAAATGTTGGTCACATTCTGCATTGCCTGGGAAAGACTCAGATGATTTTTCCTGAAACATAAACCACCTTTTGCATCTAACTCTATTCACCCCTCCACATCTCCTCATTTTTGCCACGAGACAGGAGCAATGCAAGCAGAGGCTCAACACAAGGGCCTGGCTCTACAGCCAGCACAGAGACACTCGCAAAACAGAATTACAGCATTCCATTTGTGCAGAGCCACCAACAGCTCTGCAGCCAGACTTCTTCTGCAGGGGAAATGACTGTTTGCTTCTCCAGAGGAACAGACTTTCCATTGCCATTCCCATTCTTCCCTGGCCACAGCACAGGTGAAAAGCAGAGCATCACACTGCCATTTGCATTTAATTTTAATGCTGTGGTATTTTTTTTGCCACAGGGCATGGAAGTTTAATTTAGAAGTTTAATCTCATTTACAAAAACAGTCACCCAGCAAGCACTGGGATCATAAAGATCCTGACAAAACTTCACACCACTTAGAGTTCCACGTGCTTCTACTTTGTATCTATTTTAAAAAATCCCTTACAGAGTTAGTAAAGAAATTCTTCCAGCTAGCACAACATGTAGTCAAATTATTCTCGTTCTTCTTTCTTTCTTTTTAAAGAGAGGGTGAGCAGCGGAACTAGGCACGGGGCACGCACCGGGGAGCCGGACGGTACCGGGCCGGTGGTGGAGGGGACGGGTAGTGCCGGGCAGTGGAACCGGACCGGGCAGTACCGGTGGAGGGGACGGAATCGGGACGGAACGGGAGGGGACGAGACGGGCGATCCGGGGAGCAGTGGGGCAGATGGGCGGCGTCGGGACAGGCGGTACTGGGGCGGGATGGGGCGGCACGGCACGGCACGGCACGGCACGGCCCGCGGAGAGGCCCCGGGCGGGCAGCCCCGGCCCGGCCCGGCCCGGCCCCGACTCACCCGCGGCGGCTCCGCCATGTTCCCGTTGCCGGGCAACGCGTCAACACCCGCTCACGTGACCGCCCGGGCCGCACCACCGCGGCCCGCGGAGGGGGGGGCGGGGGGCTCGGGCCGCACCATCCCCGGCGCGCGGGGGGGCTCGGCCACGCTCCGTCCGCCGCCAGCCCCGGTTCCGCCCGCGGGCCCCGGTACCGGCACCGGGCGGGTCCCGCTGTGCTCTCCTCGGGCCGGGCAGCCCCTGGCCGGGCAGACGGGCGGGGCCGCAGGGCGGGCACAGCCTTGCGGGCCGGACGGAGCGGGCAGGCGGCGGCAGCGGCTCCGCGCAGGGCCGGGAGCGGCGGCGGCGGCGGCTCCGAGCCCGCCCCGGGCTGGGCAGCGCCGGGAGCTTCCCCGGGCTCGTCTGTGCCGGTAAAGCGGGGCCGGGCGGGGCTGGGGGCGGCGGGGCGAGGGGGGCCGGGTGATCCTGTAGCACTGCCGCGGGACCCCCGGGCCCCGCACCGGGATCCTGCCGGTACCTGGGCAGGTCCGCCTTTGATCCCGCTCTTTGTCCGCCCTTCCCACGGCGGAGCCCCGCGGAGGGCGGCGGGGCGGGCGGGTGCTCCGAGAGAACGGGAGCTTGCTCGGGGGTCGGGATCCCGTCCTGGGGTCGGGATGCTGTCCGGGGGTCGGGATCCCGTCATGGGGTCCGAATGTTGTACGAGGGTCGGGATGCTGTCCGAGGGTCGGGATCCCGTCGGGGGGTCGGGATGCTGCCTGGGGGTCGGGATGCTGTCCGAGGGTCGGGATCCCGTTCTGGGGTCGGGATGCTGTCCGAGGGTCGGGATGCCGTTCTGGGGTCGGGATGCTTTCCGGGGATCGGGATCCCGTTCTGAGGTCGGGATGCTGCCCGGGGATCGGGATGCCGTTCTGGGGTCGGGATGCTTTCCGGGGATCGGGATCCCGTTCTGGGGTCGGGATGCTTTCCGGGGATCGGGATGCCGTTCTGAGGTCGGGATGCTTTCCGGGGATCGGGATGCCGTTCTGGGGTCGGGATGCTGTCCGGGGGTCGGGATCCCGTTCTGAGGTCGGGATGCTGTCCGGGGATCGGGATCCCGTTCTGGGGTCGGGATGCTGTCCGGGGGTCGGGATGCCGCCGGGGGCGCTGGTGGAAATCTAAACAGTTCTTAAACTTTCTCTTCTGTTCTTTCGGCGCGGCTCCGTGCAGTTTGGGGTGTTTCAATGTTTCCTTCCTTGTGGGGACCTGGTCTTCTCCCAGGTGACTCCAACATCCACCTGAGCCCTGTGACCCGCGGGGAAGGTGGTGGAGGATCGCTGGCAGTGGTTTGATGAGCGGCCTCGGGATGCTGCAGGCAGGGGTTGTGGGGTGCTGCACTGCTCTCTGTGCTGCTGACACTCTGCAAAATAACTCGACTGCTTCCTCTGGGAGATCTGCCTTTTCGGATCTCAGGCTGGGGGCTTGTCTTGCAGAGGTGTTTTGTTCTTAGCTGCTACTTGGAACAGAAAGAAAAAGGAAAGTCCAGGGTGTCCGAGTGGCAGAGACGGTGCATGGTCTGATGTCTGCCGTGCTGAGAGCAGAGCTCGCAGCCAGCTCACCCACCCAGCTGTGATCCACACTCCTGGGGTTTGAGCTGCTGGGTTTTGAGAATCAAGTTCTGAGAGTGTTATTGGGACACAGCAACAGGATGTTGGAAATAAAAAGCCATAAAAGCATTTCCTGTGGCCCGAGCAGTGAAGATAAGGAACATGAAAAGCTGGTAAATCAGGGACGGAGGCACTTGTGGCACACAGTGTCTCAGTGACAGTGTGTGCTGCCGGTGAGTTTGGTGCTGGGGATGGGTGAGTTTCATTTGCCTTTTGTTTGCTTTTTGTTTGCTTTCTGATGCCTGAGCAGGTGTGGCAGGGAGCAGCCAGCCCTGACTTAGCATTCCCTTTCCCTTTTCATCCCTGGAGTCACAGCCCTGCAGGATTCAGGCTGCTGCCCCTTTTTTACCTGCTCA